ATCTGTTCAAAAGAATCACTTCAAACCTTAGGGCAGAACCTGGCCTGCAAAAGCTGAGCATTGAAGGGTCCCCAGAGATCTGAGCAAGATGACAGAGAGCACAGGAAACCTCTGTTGTTGGCGACACACAGGCTTTAGGAATGTAAGTGTCACATGCTCAGGACAGCAGGATTTCACACTAATCTTTGCCCTCGGGAAGATTTCCAGAAGGACTTGATTGCATTTAATGCTAATTCTCTCTCAAAGGGGAGTGCATTCTTCAAGCGTGCATGGCAGAAGGAGCACGAGGTTCTGGACATTTGGGGACGAGATAGAAGACGTGCTGGACTGTACCTGTAAGATAAAGGCACTAATCTGGAGTTTAATAGGGCAAGGGGACCAGTTCTCTTTTGAAAGACCCACCGGCTACAGTACGGGACACATGGGAAAACAGACTTGACTCATGGCTGTGGTTAAGCATGTTGGAAACATTAACCACAGAGCAGAAACATAAGAAGAAATCGGTGCAGAAACATGAAATGTCCCGCGGAAATGTCCACAGAAAGGCCAACCCAAACTAGCTACATAATTTTTGAAGCCCTGTGTAAGATATAAAGTTCCTCGTTTGTAATTTATTAGGTTTCTCAAAACAGTGACAGGAGCTGATTAAACCAAGCACAGGGCCCTCTTGTAAGCCCTGGATGCTTACACCTGTCCCTTGCCCATGAGGTCCCCATGTCCCCTGTAGAACTAACCCCAATATACAGGTGTCTCACTAAAAACTTCTTCATTAACTTGTTGTCCTAATCAGGAAATCCCTTTGCCCTTGCCACAGACAAAAGGGTGGGATGGACCTAGCTAGGAATCAGTCAAAGAGAGCTCTGTACACTGCAGTGCGGGGCTGGTTCTCCGTCCCCCTCCTTGCGTTTTCTTTGGGCGTGATACTTTCCTTGAGGGGAATCTTCTGTTTCAGGCTCTCTGCCAGCACCTGCAGGCCCCTTGGTTCCTTTATACATGGTTTCTTTCCCATCATCTTAGCAAACACACAGCTCTTTAAGTGATTCTGGAAAAAAATGTTTTTTGGCAAGTTTTGTGGGCTTTTTATTAGATACACACTGTAATTCCAAACTGTGATTACATGATGTCTGACTTTCCCTGAACCCAAATTCAATATCCTGCAAAATGGGACGCTTTATTGCAGAGCTGAAGCACACACCAGGAGTGGCCTGGAGGCCAGCACCGGGGCTGCTGATGGCGTGGCTCTCCCAAACCTGTGGGTGGCGGGGATGGGTACCCAATCCCCCACTTGGCTTTCATATGGACTTCTTTTATCTTATCAAATTATGTTTACTGGGCATTAGTTATAAGTGCTTTTTAAGAAAAGATAAATCCTTTATAATTCTCCAATGTCAGTGTTCCAGCTGTGTTCATTTTACTACATCTTCTTCTCCTGAACTGTCTGATGATGGCCTGTAGCATTTCTTGTTTTGGTGTGGTTAAATTCCAATTATACTTATAAAGGTAAAATACATTTACAAGGTTAAAGAAAATTCAAACATAAAGCAAACAGGAGGCCTTAGAATTGCCTGTGAAATAGAAGGCAAAGCAATACTCAGAAGCAGCCAGTCAGGAAAACTGAAGTCATCCTTCGCTGTTACCCGGCCCGAGACCTTATGTTACAGAAAAGGAAGGAGACGCTCCGAGGTGAAATAACCTGCCCCAAGTTGCACAGCTCTGAGGCACAGTCAGGGCCAAACAGGCTGCAAACGACTGTTTCACACGAACTGCAGAATCCGTTTGCACATTAGTAATTTCTCTGGGGCAGGAGTCCTTTAAATGTCTATCGTTCATAGGGGGAAGGAGGGAGTTGGACCTCACGAAGGGGCTAGGAATATAGCTCAGCGGCACAAGGCCTGCCTTGCAAGAGAAAGGTCCTGAGTTCAGTCCCCGGTAATAAAAAAAGGACTTTGACTTCAATCCACAATGAATTGCACCACCACCTGGTCAACCCACAACTGCTATACATATACTCACTAGCAAGACGTTTTGAGTAGTGGCTACCCAGATCTTTACGAAAGCTTAAGACTCAATTTCAGATTGGATTGTGACAACACACTGCAGCTAGGTTGACCCTCAGGCCTGCAGTTTCATTGAAAAATCGGTACGCAGAGAACGGGGCGGGGTGCCAAGGAAACAAATGGAAAGTGAATCTGCAAAACCCTTCAGAAGATTGTTCCGGCAGAGTGAGGCGCCCTCTACTGGTAGGATTCGTTACCCACCAAACAGAATTTAGGTTTGTGGGAAGTGGAAAATAATAATAATAATAATTGGACAGAATTGTAAGTAAATGTAGGAAAAAACAATGTAGAAAATCTAAAATCTCAACTTTTCAGGTGAGGAAACAAAACTCTGGAAAGTTTTAAGTAGTTTTCTCATAAATCGTGAAGCAGCATTCTATTAGGTTTCACCCTTTGTGGCAAAATATGAAGTTATTTTCGTGAAAAAGAAGCCCTTGAGAAATATGTACTGAGTCAGTAATGAGTAAAAATTAGTTTTTCTCAGTGAAGAGGAAAGTTTCCACACACCCTCAAATGAAATTCTGTGCTCCATTTGCCTAAACCGAGGTTTCTTACACTGTAGTCCAGTGGTGGTGAACCTATGGCAGCAAGTATTTCTTATTTAAGACAAAGGACGTTAATGTATGAATTGCTTTGTCTAAATTGAAACCTCAGTATCCAAGTTTAATAACAGTGTTGGCGCTTTGCGATAAAGAAGTGGGTTTTGGGTTGCAGTTTGAGCACCCATCTCTAAAATGTTTGCCATCACTGCTCTAGTCATTCAGATATCACTGACATGGTTTTTGCCATGGCCAACTACTTGTGTATCATTGTTTATGGTTTTCCTTTCAATAGATCCATTTTAAATCTTAGTCTCATCCTAACCAATAGAATCCATAAATTTTGATGAAATATAGCTATATACCACACCAGACTCAAAACTTAGTGTGTGTGTGGTGGGGGTGAATGTGCACATACAGATGGTATAAGTACATGTTGTTAAAAAGTTCATCTGTATGCCATGCTTTAGAAAACTGACCAGGTATGGTGGCGCATGCCTATAATTCCATCACTCGGGAGGCTGAGGCAGGATTGTTGCGAGTTCAAGACCAGCCTGGGCTACAAAGTGAGCTCAAAGTCAGCTTGAAATGCATAGGGAAACCTTGTCTGGAAAAGACAAAAAAAAAAAAAAAAAAAGAATACTGAAAGAACACAACTCCTGTTTGTTGTCATAATTTCATTGATCCTTTAAAGGCTGGTTATTCATTGCCTTTACCTCATCTTCCCCCTGTGCTTCATCTTCTTCCTTGGGGTCTTCCTTCCTTCCCTTCCATCCTTTTACACTTCTTTGCTTTAGTGTTCATATTTCCTGTTCATATTTCCGCAGCGTGCTGAGGCAAACCATCGCTCCCTGCTGTCCGCTGGGAGCCATGCCTCATTTCATACCGAGCGCTGGGAAACCAGATTGAAACCAACTGGCATTTGACAGGATGAATAAAAAGACCTTTGTATTTCTGTCTTTTTCTAGGACTGGGGCTTGAGGACTATTGAAAAGTGCTGTCATTTCTATTTCATCCTTATAATCAACCTTCTCTAAAGAAACAGCACATGAATGCAGAAAGCCCAATTTATAAAAACACGTTTAAGCCATGATTCCGTGAGGGACATAACAGAGAGTCTGTTCTGGTTCTGGCGGTGTGAGAGCTGCCGAACCTGTAGGGGAGGACGGAGAGGAGGGAGAGGCTGATCTTCACAAACCCTCTCCCCTCGTTAAACATTCCTGTGGATCCAACCGAAGCCTCACTTCTTCAGTAATAAAAGTGACTATTGTGCATTTATTGCTAGGTGACCATACTCACTTCCTCCTGAGTTACAATTTGGTGCCAATGGGAACTTCCAGTTATTTATAGCAGATTATCTATATTGAAGTGAATCTGCAAAAAAAATATTATAACCTCTGGTCATCTGATTCAACTTATTGCATCATCTCTGTTGGACCTTAAGAGTAGTCAATAAATAGCCTTTTGACACCAGATATTTATATTTTTAAGCAGCTTTGTATCCGGAATGTTCAGAAAGATTAGCATCGAATGTGTGCTGTTTTATAAAAATGACAGAGCTATATAAAAACTTCTCCCGAAGGAAGGACTTCCAATGATTGAACTTTCCTTTTGGTAATACTTGCATCGTTGTTTCAGAATCAAGCGGAAATTTTTTGCAGAATAACCTACAATTAGGCAAACATGGATGAAAACTAAATTACAGTAATGTAATTCTAGATACCTTTGTATTCCGGGGGAAATTAAGCATATTCAACCCTAACAGCAGGTGTTCCTAAAAAGACTAATATAAGACTCAGGGACCCGTGGGGAGGAATGGGTGCTCTGCATTTTCCCCGGCTCCCCAAAGAGATTCTTTCTGATGGGAAGCAGATGGAAACCCCATAAAGGGGCAGATTCCCGCTGTGACTATCACGGGGCTACAACGTGCTTGGAAAATGACATCAGCCAGGAAATCAGTGACTGGAGTTTCAGATTTCATAGTAGGATTTTGCTTTGGCTGTTTTGTAGGCCCAAAGATGGCAGGAGGAGACAATAAATTCTCCCTTAGAATCTCTCTCTTGGTAGATGTTTGAAGAGCTTATATGAGTAAATCAACTGTCCCAATCCCTTGACATGATAGGGACCATTCTGTTTAAATGTCCTGTGTCCTTCTGTTAGATCACCAACGTAAGCCAACAATTCCGACTAAGTTGGGCCTGATAAGCAGAATGCAGTGCTGAGGGAGATTATCAGGAAGAACTAAAGTATTTATTTTTTATGAAGCTTTTCCGATAACCAGCTTTATGACTGGAAAGGGCCAAGGCTGATATAGTGCGGTACGTAGATTAGCATTTCTCGCCGGAGAAAAGATTAGATTGCCTCCCTTTAACACTTCGGTTCACTATACATGAGTAAGTGCTGATGCAGTTTCCATTTTCATTTTTATTTTTCTATTATTCGGGTTTTCAGAAACAGCTTTACATGAATGTGGAAAGAATTCCAAAACCAAAGAATATGTTTTCCATACAAGTCCCGATATGCATTGGTGTTTATCTTGTGTTTTTGTCCAGCAGCAGTGATCAAGCTTTACACCCAGGGCTAGTTTACTTAGGTAGGTCGGTTTAATTTTCTATTTACTTTTATGTGAGTTGATTCTCTCGCAAGAAATTAATGGCACGCTGTTGCAATTTAAACAACATGTAATCAGTTAATATTAGTAAAGTCAAGGTTTCGGGTGTTGTCTTTAAAAAGATCGATTAATTTTTTTTTTCCGGTACCGGGAATCGAATTCATGACCTTGCGCTTGCCAGGCAGGCGCTGTGCCGCTGAGCTAAATCCCCAGCCTCCAAAATCGATTAATTTTGTTGTTCTTATCTGAAATTGGGAACGGTATTGGATCTCAAGAAACACTGGATTAACAGAGTGTTTGGACATATGCATAAAGATTCATCACCTCTTGGACAATATTCAAAATGTATGCCTGATGTATGGAGTTAAAGAAAAAAAAATTATTTTTTGACATTATTAAGACAGAAAAGCATTCTCTGTTCAGGGCACGAGGACACTATATCCATAGGTTCAAGGGCAACAGCAGTGGAATTCTGTAGTTGGGGAGAGAAATTTGGCTCAGCTCCAAATACAGAGTGAGAATTTATAGCCATGGAGTAAGGTGAGAGTCAGTGGACTGAAAATTATTAAGAGGAAATATCAGGGTAGGAGGGAGTTTTCGATAAATTGTCCTAGCAGGATTCCTGCTGAAGGATGATCAGATGCTATGTGGGGCACGGTTGAGGAGGAGAAATTAAACCACATATCAAGGATGATCAGAGAGAGAGGCAGGGGGATTCTAGCTGAGTCACCTTAGCAGGAGTCTTGTGAAACTTGGACAGCGTGAAAACATACATGGTAGTTCGAAAGTTAATTGAAAAGTTGCAATGTTCAAGGGAGGCAGTGAACAGTTTGGTTAAAGACAGACTCTTTGTCAATGGCAAGAACAGTCTTCTGTTTTCAGAAACAAACATTTTAAAAATAAGATAATTATTTCTATTTGAAAAGAGACTCAGAGATGGATCGGGCTCCAGGGTAGGCAATATGATGTCATCAAGGACCTAAGTTTTTTTATATTTTTGGTATCTTCAAAATCAATGCTTAGATTGGTTTTTATGTTAACAAGATGACGGCTACAGACTCAGATCAATAATATTCAGATGAAGAAGAGAGATTCTTATATCCTCTACCTTTTTTCTAATGAGTGAAGAACCCATTCCTAGCAGTCTCCCAAGCCTTCTTCTCAAGCCTTGGTAAGGGCTGGGTAATATCCCAAGTCCTGTCAATCACAGAAAGAGGGATCCTAATGGTTGGCTTAGACTAGAGCTTCTCAACATTGGATGCGTTTTGAAAGGCGAGAAAGAAAAACTGATACCTGGGTTTTTCCTGCAGAAACTCTGCTTTAGTTGTTCTGAAATGCATCCTGGGCCATGAGAGTTTGTAGAGCTTCCCAGGTGGTTCTAATGTGCAGACAAGCATGCTGAGATGATCAGTTTAGAGCAAAGCTGGAGATAGTGGAAGACTAAGGGTGAGGAATGCATGTTGGATTATAAATCACCATGACCACAGAGCATTTCTGTATTTTCAGTGCAAATTTGTAAAGGATGTATATGTATACATAAATATGCACAAGACTGCAATTTGGTTTGGAGTAATCCATGTTTATGTGGAGACCAGATGAACAAGGGCCATATTAGGAGAACAGATTGGTGTATCTAAAGTCAATCAAAACCATTTGTAAAAACAGCTATGGCATTGCGTATATAGAGTTCCTTTTGATTCGAGCAAATACAATAAAGCAGGTAGTGTTGACAGCGAAGGCACTCGCAACATTCCACTCCAAAATATGCTGATTTGGCATACTGATCAATTTGACCTAAGGGTGCTTCATGTGTCAGCAGGCACACAAGGGAACTCTGACTTCCACTTTTCTTTCTGAAAGCAGGGTATGAAACTCCCACATAAAAGATGGCCCCTAAACACTAAGAGAAAGTACGTTCTCCTTGCCAGAGATAAGACGTTAAAGTTGAAGGACATTTGTACAATCAAATTTCATTAAAGAAACTCATTTTTCTAGTTCCTTTCCCCAAACTGACGCTCTTTGTTCAAGTTAGTATAAAAGCACTTAGGCCAAGCCATTTCTTTTTCTTGGGGATCTATTATGTCCATGTAAATAAAATTGTAGTTTTTCTTCCGTTAATCTGTCTCAAATCAATTACAGTTGAAACATAAGATGACAGAGGAAAAATTTCCCTTCCATAAAATCGCAAATGAGGGGCTGGGGATTTAGCACAGCGGCACAGCGCCTGCTTGGCAAGTGTGAGGTACTGAGTTCGATTCTCGGTACTGGAAAAAACAACAACAAAAAACCAAAAAAAAACCCTGTAAATGATATTTATTAGTCTTAAATACTCTTAAATTCTTTTCAGGCTTTTTTTTTTTTTTTTTTAGTACTGGCAAACTCACGACCTTGTGCTTGGCAGGCGGGCGCTATACTGCTAAGCTGTACCTGCAGTCCCCAAATTCTTTTCTGGAAACTCCCTTCAAAAGGTTTCCATTGTCAAATTCCATAGCTTCTATCTTCAGGATTTTTCAAATTCCTTCTATGAAAGCCAAAAGTTTAAGAATTCTTAAGTATCTAAAAAAAACATTTTAAGAAGTTTAAGAAGATGCACGTGAATAAACAGAATACCCCAGAAAGAGTGCATTAAAGACAGTGATTTTGTGATCCATTCTCCTTTTCATCTTTCATAATTTTTGGAAATCAGGGTCATTTTATTTATGTTTTTTATTTTTTTAGGTACCAGGAATTAAACCTCACGCTTGCCAGGCAGGCGCTGGGTCACTAAGCTATATCCCTGGCCCCACTGTATTCGTACACAGGCTGCAGCCTGCCTTCCACACCAGCATGTAGCACCCACAGGAATGCTGTTTGTACAAAACAGTGCTTCTCAATCTTGGCTACCTATTAGACTAATCTGGGGGGGAGACTTTTAAAAAGTGATTTCTCTTTCTTTTCCCATCTCTATAAACAGAAAGAGTCTTTAAGGGTTGGGGCCAGGCATCTCTCTTTCTCTTTTTTTTTTAGCACACCAACTGATTCTGATGCTGAGTGAGAATTATTAGTAAGAAGGGAGAAAAGAGTAGATAGCAGGGATTCCATCTGTACTCTTGCTCTTGATTCCCTTTTAATTATTTCTCCGCATAATGGAAGTAATCAGTCTTCTGGGAAAAGGTAAGTATTTAAAAGCCTGGCTCAAATGGATTTTGCAAGTAAAGTTAAACCTTTATGAAGCCTCAAGTTGTCTGGTAACACTCTGTAAATACTTGTGCAAACAGCTAGCTCTTGGCCATGGTTTTTGAGTTAAGAACCTCACAGCCCTTTGCACTTGAGCTGCAGTGAAGCCACTTGACAACTGTTTTGACGTGTTCAGTGGACAGAAACTATAACAGCGAGAAGAAAATCACTCATTTGAAGAAATATCATAAAAGTGATTTTTAAAAAGAGGTCACAAAACAAGAGGTAGGTCAAAAACCTTCGAGGCCAACTCAGATTGCACTGCAGCTAAATTTGTGTGCATCTCAGACAATAGGCAGTGCCCACACCATACCCTTCCAGCACACTTTGGAAACTACAATGTCCTTTAGGCCAGCCCAAGAATGTACTTTGAAAAATTTTATTAAATCACCAATGAAGTGATCAGCAGAAATGTGGTGAAAAAGTGGTGAAAGCCGTAACTCTGGAAGAGAAAGTGTGACACACGCGCAGAATACTTTTTTGGGGTGGGAACCCTAAGGAGAGGAAGGTGGTATAGCACGAGAGACAGGAGAACTGAGCTGGAAACTCACTATTTGGCTCTGTGGTCTTGGGCAGGTCAAATCACCTCTCTGAGCCTCAGTTTCATGATGCAAGAAATGAGCTCATCCCAGCGCTCTTCATTCAGGCTCTACTTGCAGACATTCCAGACGTGTATCTCAGTATCCAATCTGCAATTTAAAAAATCTATTGAGGTCCTATCTGTAAAAATTTTAAAAGGTTACATTTCTGATTTTCCATTTTATATTTCACAGGATTACTTACAGAAGAATTGTCTAATTTTTTCCAATCATTTTATTATAAAGCTTATGGACATTGTTAAAAAAATAACCTCCTTTCTGAAATTACATTCAGCATCTCAGTCAAACCATGCAGAACTCTTCTCTGTTCTTTGGCATTTTGTCAAAACAGTTTAAAGGTAATTAATCAGCTTCAGAATAAAAGATCAGGAAATAAAAATGTTAATTCCTGAAAGTTTTGCCTTTCCTAGAGAACATAGAAAATAATGGCATGTATGAGGACACATGTGGTATTGCCTTGCGACAGATCCCTCATCAGCCCAGTGCTTCGGTTACTGTCTGCTAGCGATTTCTTTCACTGTACAATGTCAGGATGTAACCATTTTTTTGCTGTAATGCTTCTTGTTTTAAAAATGGAACATACATCTTACATTCCCAAGTATACTTATTCTTCTATCCAAGTATGAAGTACATAAATAAATTATAGGATATGGTTTTGGCAAGTTTAGAATAGCTGGGGCTAAGAAGTTGTCAAAGACTAAATTCTGACCAGAAAAGAAGCCAGCAAGTGAGCTCCAGCTAAGTCATGACACAATCTTGGAAGAGTTTGTGGGGCAACCTGCGGGCATACTTTTTTTTTTTTGAGGCAGGTCTCACTCTGTAGTTCAGGCTGGCCTTGAGCTCACCATGTAGCTCAGACTGGCCTCAAATTTGTGGCAACCCTCCTGCCTCAGCCTCCCAAGTGCTGGGATTCCAGGCATGTGCCAACACACCCAGCATAGTTTTTATAACAGATGCCGTGAGTGTTAATGAGCCTTTTAAATAATCATGTGTCCTTGGGGCTGGGGATTTAGCTCAGCGGCAAAAGCGCCTGCCTGGCAAGCGTGAGGTCGTGAGTTCGGTTCCCGGTACCGGGGAAAAACAAAAACAAAAACAAAAACAAAAAAAAAATCATGTGTCCTTTATCATAAGCATTTTCTTCTTCTAATAAAATAATTGTAAATAAAATAATAAAAGCAATAAATGCTTCCTCCCATATTCTGGGGGCTCCTATTTGCACAGCTCAATTTTAGCCATTTATTACTTTGAACTAAGTTATCCAGCCATTGATAATGTTTAATCTTACAAATGTGCAAATTTCAGTTTTGAATAAGAACTTGGGCTCATTTCACATGTTTACTTAATATTTACATTCAAGTTATGGCTGGTCTTAAGAAATGCTTCTTTCATGCTAGAAAAGTACATAGAACTACTCTGTAATTAAGTTTTCCCTGTGAAGACAATTCCTTTTCTAACATACACACATTGTAATATTGTAGGAAGGATTTCTGTATCCGGTGGATCAGTCTTGGCTCAAATCTAAGGTAGCTGTTTTACTTAAATAACCAAAAAACCTCAATTAGTAACAGACCTAAGTATAAACATCTTGCAGTGACTTATTTCCGAAGAGTAATAAATTAATTACCTTCTGGCTAATGGTTGGCTGTTTTTCAATATAAGATGTTACGGATACCAAAACACAAGTGTCCTCTAGAGTTGAGTATATATAAATCCTAATGTCACAGAACATTTTAAGTGATAAAATGTTTATTTCACATCTTTAAATTTTCAGTCGCTTTTTCCTATTGACGTCAGAGTTTCAAAAATATGGGGAGTTACTGCAAATATAAAGCTCACTGTCGTCTACCAATTACACCATATACAGTCATAGTGCTTTTGGTGAATCCTCTTATTACATTTTTCACCAGTGCTACCAGTTTGAGAGTCATTAACTCCATTTGCAAAAATCCATGGTTAAAGGGTTTCTAAAGTCACCTTGATAATCATAGTGCGAGCTCATCTGACACTGCAGAAGTCACGGTATGTATATTTGATAACTGGTTGTGGTCGCAGCTGCCATCTATCACAGAAGTGTCCCTGTAATTGACAAAATAGAGAAGATAAAAAGGGAAAGAAAGGGGGTTGGTAAGGAAGATGGATTTTTCATTTCTTATCTTGTCACACATTCTGCAGCAGTAAACTCCACAACCTCTTACATAAATGCTTTGAAGGCAGAAGAAAGCCCTCCCAGAGAAAGCTTGAAAACTGGAGATCACCTGCCTGTTCTATGTGGTTCTGTCTGGAAAGACTGCATAGCTTTTCTCCTTGTACTAAAAACAAGGGTGTAAGGACTGATGACTGGATTTGGTAAGTTAGCTACAGAAGTAGCTCAGGATTATTTCATTATTTATTTGCAGAATCACTGACGGGGGCAGGAATGCACAGGTAATAGCCTGTCAAGGCCACTGTGCTCTCTTGCATGGTGGACTGCCTTCATGCTGTAGGGTGTGCTTCTTTTCCTACTTTTATTTGGCCCAAACTCACTCTGCAGAGCCCATTTCTTTTCCTATTTTTAATAAAAACTTGCTACTGTTTGCACTTGTCTTGACCAGTTCTTTGCTCAAGACAGAAAGAACCTAGAAAATACCTCCAGAAGACTTCAGCAGCCCCAAACCTGGTTATGTATGGTCTAGCCAGCCAGGAACGGCAGGTGAGGCCCTTTCAGCACATCTTGTTTGCTTCTTCTTAAAATGACACTTTTTTTTTTTTTTTCTCCTTTCCCTGTCTCTGTCTCTTAGGTTGCAAGATGGATTTATGTTCTCTCCAGCATGGCGGCCCACCCTCATGCTGTAGGTATACTTCTTATTTTTACTTGGTCTAAATTCACCCTACAGAGCCTGTTTCTTTTCCTACATTTAATAAAACTTTGCTACTGTTAAAAAAAAAAATAAAAAAGGCTGTCGATAAAACTAAACTGAAGGGTGTTTTATCATTTTGGGGAAGGATTAAAAATAATCTTCCCTTCCTCAAAAAGACATAAGTTATTTGATAAACTAAAAGAGGAAGAGAAATTTTGATGTTACTAAACATTGACAAAATTAATAATTTATGCACAACCCCCACAGATATTAGAGTCTACCCTATACACATCCATAGCTAGAGTGATAAGCAAAAACTCTTAAGTTAAATGACAAAAATTCACATTTCTTAGTAATCAATGTTACAATATCCAATAATAAAAAAAAAAATCTACCTTCAGGGGCTAACATTTGCAGTAAGCAAAAATATCAGAAAATATTCATTTGAAATACAGTTATATATTCTATTTCCTGACTGACTTGTTAATATATCCAGGTCATAGAAGAAGAAAGGAAACTTTCCTCTATATGGCTTTTACAGAACCAGATATTACAGTAAAAAATAATTATAAAGAGTACCTAGTATGTTAAATGATTTAGGCTCCACGTAGTAAATGACTTTAAGACTTACACCTGAGTCTTTTCTTTCTCAGTTTACTTCTGATTTTTCCTACACAGATTAGAAAGCGTCCACACTTAGTATTTGCCAGTATTTACAAGGAAGTAAAACCTAATCTGCAAAAGCAGAGATATAAAGTAAAATGCTGATTACAAAACTTAAGATTTTACCAAATTATAGAAGAAAAATTCAATCATTCACCAAACCTCGTATCATGAAGAGAACTAAAGAAAGATTCTCATTATAGATTACTTCACTTTTTTAAAAGCTTAGACCTGGGTCCAAACTGGACATTGTTGAGATCTAGAAAGTGAAGGATCATAAACAACTGGAGGGGTACAGTTAAGAACGAGACTTATTGGATAGCAATTGGATAGCTCTATTGTAGGATGGGAAAAACCTGTCTTTATTTGACTGAGAAGTGGTCCCATTTATATACCAATGGTTCCCTTTATATACAAATCACCAAGGACTGCACCCCAACAGTTTTTTAGCTAATACCACACTCTGTCAGTACAGTATCAACTACTGTTAAGAATTACTTCCTTATACAGAGATATCACAGTTGTTACATGAATGCAAGATCTGCTGATTGTCACTAGCAGAAAGGCAGATTTATTTCAGATCAAACTGTACAGTCCTTACACAGCTTACTAGAAAAGTTCCTCAAACACAATATAGGTTATTATAATTTTAAGTACGCAAAATTCAACATAAAAGATACAAAAATGCCAAGGATAAATGCAAAATAGTGTTAAATACATTTAACAGATTTTCACAAAAGCCATTACCAGTTTATACTACATGTTGGTTTTACATTTTTAAAGTGCATAAAGTTCAACATGTAACAACTGTAAAAATGCAAAAGCATACAGATAAAAAGAGAATGCCAAATAGGTAACAAAGCGTTAACGACAAAAAGCCAATACCAGCTGTATCTACGTATTCCACCCTATAATCTCATAAATCAGAGCTTTCAGCTGCCTGGACTCATATGTGACCGTGTTCTTGCCAATATGCATTCTTTCTTCTTCAAGCGGCTGCTCTATAACAGCAGGTATATTCCTGCCATGAAGTTCACAGTGCTCTAGAAACTGCACACACTCCCGAATAACACTGTCGCGAAGCACTATCATGTGCTTTGACATGTTCTCCAGTAAGGACAGAAAGCATCTTTTGGCATAATACCACGTATCAGTTCCCAGCTTTTTATTGTAAGGTTCCAAGCTCTTGATAACTCGAGAAATGCCAAAGTCATAATTTCCTTTGGCACAGTACAGTGTTCCTATCACCAAATTCACAATGCACAGATGGTAGATTTTCTTTTCTGGGTCGTCGTAGGACAGTTGCTCTTCCTCCTTTTCAATCTTCCTCATCAGCTCCTCAGCTTCTTCATTCTGACTGGTCATAATATAGGAAACACAGAGGTTAGCTAATACAATAGCGCTGACGTTCAGGATGTTATCGTAATGCTTCTTGACGATGGGCTCATAGAACCCAATGGCCTCTCTGTATTTGTTTTCCTGCATGAACAGAACATGAGCTACATTCAGCCTCCACACATCATGGTCATTACAGAACTCCACAGACTTGCGGAAGATCTTTTCCACCATTGGATAATTTTCAAGATTCCAGTAGATTTTTGCTTGGGCCATCAACACAGGAATGTATTTCTCAAGGGTGTCGTCATACTCATTCTCTGTCTTCTTGACAGCATCTTCATCCCTGTTATGTCTTGCTTCCTGTACTTGCTTGGTGAGTTTCCGGAGCTGCTCAGTCAGCATCCCAGCTAGCGCATCGAGCTTAATGAAGGCCTCTTCTGGAGCTGTCTGGCAGGTGATCATGGCATCCAAGAAGTCATAGAGATAGGGGGTGAGGAACTTGTAAGTCAAATGGGCATTTTCCGCCAGAACATCTGCTGCCAGGTCAAAATACTCATACTTGCAGTACAGCAGTAAGAGATTGCCAAAAGTCTCTGGGGGAAAGGGGTTCTGTTGGAGCAAAAACTGTAGTTTTTCAAATCCTTCTGTAGGCCTGGTATCCATGTTCATGAGTGCCTGGTTGTGCAGGGTCACAGGGTCCAACTCTTCCTCTGCCCTAGGTGGCATGTCAGTGAGGGTTTCCTGGGCTACCTGGTAGTTCTTCAGCTGGTACTCTATGGCTGCCTTGAGGTTGAAGGCTTCCACCAGAGCAGTCTGGTGCAGGACTAAGGTGTTGCCAACACTTCGAGCATCTATGCCCTCAGTGGTCATGCCCACCCCGAGCTCAGGGTGCTGGCGGATGCCATGCTCAATTATGTCTGCAATATGTTTCAGAGATGAGGCGTACTGCCGGTTGCTGTAATAAGCCAGCGCCAGGTTGTAGGAAACGTCTGGCTGATAACCTGAGGCCTGCAGGGCCGCAATGAACTTGGAGCACGCAGCTTCGTAGTGTCCCTCTTTGTAGAGCAGACAACCCAGGTTGACCTGGCCATCGCGGTCGTTCTCTCCCGCGCTCTCTTCTCCTGCTTCCCCACTCAGCAGCTGCTCTACGAGGCCCCTGGCCCCTGGCAGATCGCCCTCGCTGTACTTGATAGCAGCCTGCAGGCGGAGGACCTGGCTGTGATAGGCGGGGTTGTCCAGGAGGAGGAAGGCCACCCGAGTGGCCTCGGGATACAGGCAGGCCTTGTATAGGGCCTGGGCCTGGTACAGGCGGTACTGCTCGAGTTCGGGGTGCAGCTGGCTCAGCTGCTCATAGCACTCTGCGGCCAGCACGAACTCCTGCAGGCGGTAGTAGCAGTAGCCCAGCAGCGACAGCCCGGCGCGGCTCTTGGGGCTGCGCTGCAGCTCAGCGGCCAGCAGCTGCACGGCCTCGGAGTAGCGAGAATCGCGGATGAGCCGGTACACCACCGCGGTGAACTCACCGTCGGGGATCTGCGCGCAGCTCAGCCCGGCCAGAACCGCCATGATTGCTGAGTGTGTTGGTTTCCAAGGCAACGAGCCCACCGGAAACGGAAATTTGTCAGAAGTTAATTTGCTGAGGAAAGAACCCCTCAGAAAGAAAACAGAATCCCTTGTATTCTCTAGATTTCTGGAGTCCGGTCCTGGAGTACTCCAAACTCCGTAGTGTCATGATTTGGAGCGAGAGGAAACTCCTCCGGTAGGTCAGTGACATAAAGGCCACGTCCCAGCAGGCATCGCGCCGCCGCGTTTTTCCGGGATGTGGCCGCGCTGCATTCTGGGAGACGTAGTCTCTACCGCAAACGCGAACTTTGAGCCCTGAGATGTCACCTGTCCTCTTGTGTTTTATTTTGCTTTTCTCTGAACAGTAATAAAAGCACAATAAACTTGTTAGCTGCCTAATATACAGGAATATCAGACTTTTTTTTTTTCTCTTAAACTGAGTGCTGCTGACTGTGTGTGTTGCCCCACTTGGGTCTGTGGGACATTGAGGTTTAAGGCCTAACGTCCTTGGAGATTTTAAGACTTGCACATCTAATGTTGTATAATAATGACGTCGTTTAGTGGTTTTTTTTTTTCTTAACAAGATGAGAATGTCGGGTTATCTTTTTGGAATTTCCCTGGAATTAGAGTTGATTATTTTTATGCTATCCTTAGGGTAAACTTCTTAAAAGTAACATACAGTAATTTGGTGGGTACAAGTCCTTACTTTGGTCATTTCCAGAGGTTGACAAGTCCACAATCTTTTCTATGTGTAAATTTCAGAATTTACTCCATCTCGATTATAGCCCGCTTATGTAATTATATATAATGTTAATAATCGTCTTGTAATATGCATATTATTGGCAAAATATTCTGGCCTAGTTTATTTAAAGGTTTACACAATTTTCTCAAGACTACTTCTAGATTCATAGAAGCTGAGCCTTGCTATCCAGCAGGTGAGTTCCGTAGCAAATAGAGTGTGATAATTAATCCAATTTATATATCTCCTACAGAGTTTGTAAGGGCCCAGGTTTTGTGGCAAGGAAATTTGAGGGAAGATTACTGGGCTTTTTTTTCCTTCATAAACTATCAGCTAATTTGGTGTGAGCCGAAGACTTTGAACTTGCAGCCCCAATTGCAGCTGCAAGCAGATGTTAGGAAGTGATGCATAGAAGTCTGTAGCTCCTAATCATCTAATATCACAAAGAACGCTTAGTAGGTGTGCAGTTCCTCACGTCATAGAATAATTGACTTTATATTCTTATTCAGTCTTCTTGCTTGCTGAGAATTGATAGAGTTTTGTCGTACTGCATGGGAACTGGAGTAGCCGAGGAACACTTTTATTTTTTGGTGAGGAATACTTTTACAACCATGACCTGAGGCTTTTTCTGCCTGATTTATGGTGCACACTTTTAGGATGTTATACCCAGGAAGGTATATAGTTGGAGGAGGCTGCCTATTGCTGCTCAATAATGAGAGGGTATGTGTCTTCTCCCTTACAGCTGACTGCCTGCCTGACTCTTGTCCCTTAGCAACTTAGACACAGTATTTTAAAATCCTTATGTATGGACTGTTACCTCAGGTAAGTTGCTATTAAATGAAGATATAAAAGAACACAGAAACAAGGAATTGCCTTTTACTATTTTAGTCATTCTATTTCACAAACTATATTTACCTCATCAACACATTCACCTTCAAATGACTTTTTGAAAATTTATGAAAAATAAAAGGACTATTTTCTCTCCCCCAAATGACACTGATCCCTACAGGGTCAAAGAATCACTAAGGGGTCCTTTTCTCTGTGTTGCTACCTGTCTATGAGCATGGCAGGTGAAGTGGACAGGAGGGGGACTATTCTGTGTCTTCCTCAGTATTCCATGTGATGTTGCTCCAGCAGCCTGGCTTAAAAAAAGCAGAACATTCGGCTTAGACAGATGGAGGGCAGGGTCATTTTCAAAATGAAATGAGTGCGCCAGTCACATTGTGAAATTGGCATGACCATCACTGCTGCTGTGATAGACTGACTTTTATTGAGGCTTTGATAGGCAATTAGGGAATAGGGTAGGTATTTTTTTTTCTTTTTGGAAAGGAGAGGTGAAAGGAGGACCTTTAATTAATAATAGAAATCCTGGAAAGCAATAAGCAGAGTGGAATATCATGAAATAAAAAAGATCATTTTGTTTTCAATAGAATCTTGAAAGGCTAGAGCATGTATCAAAAAACAGGTGAATAACGCAGGCAGTAGGAAAGCATTCGGCGGTTGTAGTAAAATAAACTGTAGACTCGTAGGAGAAAATTAGGATTGAGACAATGAAGTGAGACTCGGGGTGGATTTTGCTTCATAAAGGGAGTCAGGTTTACCCTGGGGAAGTGTTCAAATTAGGCAAACACTAGAGGAGCTAAAAGCATAATATTTGGTTTTTAGAGTGCTTATGTTCTATCTGCCAAAATGGAAGTCCTTCTGAAAAACCATTTTCCATTTACTATTTCTTTTTCCCTTTGATTCCTGGCCATTTTCTTCAGAATGGTCAGTTTGAGAGTCCAGTTACTTTGCATCCATGTCTCCACTCACTGTACATAGCAAAGAAAAGTGCCAAATTGGTAATGTGGTTGACTGACTTTTTGGAGCATCTGTCCAATCTTTCAAGACTTCTGCTAAGACGGTATACTTTATGCTTAGATGGTGAGACATTTCACCTCATTCGGAACTCTCCTTTCACTGATGGTTCCAACTTTATTGATAGTTTAATTAAATTTCCTCTCGATATATCTTGCTTTTTATCAACTAGCTTATATTTTAAGGTTTACAGTGTTACTGTCGAAATTAACCTACCAAGGGGAGCACAATAGCTTTATGGTTTGTAAAAAGGACTAGCTGAGAAGGCAACGCTGTGGATATTGGCATTTTGAAACAACCAGCCATCCAGCCAAACAAAGAGCTAATCTAAGCCCTGTGTTTATGCAGGCGGTTCGGTACCAGGCCTGCTTTGCCTAACTTGCCTCATTAATCTTCACAGCCCTTCTGTGAATTGGGGGGTTCTTCTTGTTGACCCCACTTTAAAACTGCAGACTGTAAAGCACAAAAAAGACAGCAGTTGCCTCCGCCAGCACTAGTAGTTGCTTCCACTGGCCAGTAGTGGGCCACCCTGCGCCCTTTCCCTCTCTCCCTGGGCGCTTCCTCTCCAGTCATTTGAATTGGCTTTGGATCATTTGCTGCAGTTTGTTCTAATAGAGCAGGCACAATGGTGTAAGAATTTTAAAGTTTAAGCACCGAAGCCATTGTATAATTGTATAGCGTCAGTGTGGCTGGCGGTCCTGCATTGATGCGATCCCCCTGTGTAATTGCCCATGCAAATTTGAGCAATGTATAACGGACACTGGAACCCAGCATTTGTCTGCCAGTCCAGAAAAATTTCAATAATGCAAAGAACCTTTTGTCATTTTAAAAATGCTGTCCCAGTGTCCTTCTCATAGAGGCAGACATCACAGATGAAGACAGAGTTAATGATCAGAATTTCAAATGCAGCTACTTGGAGACCTGCTTCTTTATTTTAGCCTTCTCAAAAGAAAGAGAGATTATTCCAGAGCTTTCATCAAACATTAAGCATTTTATTAAAAACAAAGATATTTAGATCTCATAAAGCAGTCTGTTTCAAAATCATGGATTAGTTGCTGGTGAAATAGCCAAGCAGTCTAAAATGAGGCATTCTTACAATGAAACATCAGCCTGGGAAATACACAAAAGGGAACAGCTTCAAACAACTCAACTGAAGACATTATTTCCCTTGTTTTGTGCAAAACCGTAATAATTAGGAAGCAAGTCAGTAGGGGATCCTTTTTAGATGATTGTACATCAAAATAAAATGGTACAAACAATATCCCCCCCAAGGGAATGAAGCTCAACAAAACCTAGCCTTCTATTTCCACACTATATGCTTGTATTTAATTCATCTAAATACGATTTAATCTAAATCTAAAGCAAAAGAGAAATTAAGATTTTAACACACACACATACGTACACAGAAATTGAGCACAAAGATAAATGATGGTCTTAAAGGACATACTTTTCATAACAAAAACTTCATTTACTTAATAAACATATTTCTGTACCAGTGTATACATTCAGGGATGTTGATGTAGATTTGCTACACAGATAAATGACTTGTCTTTAGCACTGCTGAGAGATATAGTAAATATGCAAGGATATTCAAAATTAAAGTAGATGCACAACCCAAAATGACTAGCTGAGGGAGAGATAGTGATGCGGACAACTTTGGGCATTGCTAAATCGAAATACTCATCATGAAATTCTCCAGATACACTTCATTTTCCTTCTGCCATCCATGTGTTTTATTCTATTATTGTTCACCTAGGAAACTTATTAAATTTTGGCTTTGTAGCTAGATTTAACCTCTAAGTTCCTGGTACATTTGAATTTTGGGGAGTTCTTTACAGCACATGGCAGAATAACAATTTCAGAGATTGTTATTCTGAGGCAAATAATGAAACTTCCCTACAGGGACATTGCCAGAGTTTTTAGGGCCCCAAATTAGGTTTGGCTCCATTGCTTTTAATGAATCCTTTTTGCCTTTTTTCCCCAAGCCAAAGCATTTTTCTTTATATTTGAATCTTTCCCAAATATGTTTAGATTTCTGTCCTACTTGAAGGAAATTGTTTCACACTGTCACTGGGGATGATATTGGTTTTTGTCTCTGCAATTTATAAAAGTTATCAGGAAAATGGATTTCATTTTTTAATTTTGTCTTTATAGACAAATAGATCTTAAAATAATTGTACTACAGACAAAGTTGAGCAGATGGTTTAATGACCTAAGGTAAATGAATAAAATATGATAAAATTTAGTACACAGAAAAAGCAACCAAATTCCAGGAGAATTAATATACTGTATTTCTCTAGTATAAAATATGTAAAGATTATTCTCAGTCCAATATGTTTGCAAATATAAAATACCTGAAAGTACACAGGCATCTCAGATTTTAGAAACAGAGAAAATGCACATGCAGTGCTAACTTTTTAAACTCACTTTATACATTCACTTCTAAATCAATGACTATCATTTATGGGATACCTAGCAAAGAAATAATTTCAAGTTGTTCTCTGTGAAATAAAGGAATATATATTTAAAAATGTATTAATGACTATATGATACATTTAAAAATATATATTGTTTTTGTATGTACCACACTCATGTAATTCTTTATTTTATCTTTAGTGAAAAGACAATCTCTTTAGGTTTGGTAGTATTTTATTGGAGAAGAAAAAATAAACTGTTCTAGAAAAATTTTAAAAAGCAAAGCATAACTTCCTCCTTTCATGTGGAAATGGAATAAAAGTCAGTGTTTTTATTTAATCAATGAGAAACCTGAGAGATAGAAAGTCCCAAGATCACAGGTCCAGCCAGTGGCCAGGTAGGATGGCGTCTCAGTGTACTGCACACTGGATGGCTCCCTTCACAGAATGCCAGGCTGTTCTTACCTGCCAAGATAGGCTGTGTTGTAGGCTTGACATGTGTTGTCTGGAATATAGACCAATACGAATAAATGTCATGTCTGAAAAAAACACATCGCATAGAAAAAGGAGGATGATGTCATTTCAGCTATTGATGTCAAGAGGTCTGAGGAAGCATAACCAGTTTGGTCAGTTTGAGGTTTTACAAGAAGGCTCACCTTTCAAATGCGTTCCTTCAATAGGAAATAAATAGTAATAATAAGGACTGGGCAGTTTTTCTTTATTTTGGGAAAGCAAAATATATGGCAAACCATACACACCTCACAATCTTGGAAATTATAAATTATTTTATAAAGGGGTTAAAAATACCTCAAACTTTCAGGAGTCCAACCTCCAACCCCCAGGGGCTATTGGTAGCAGTAAGGCTGCTACCCTCACTTCCACTGCTCCATGGTCATGTTGGAACAGACCATGGCATTAGTCAGCAGTTTCTGAATCTTGACCCACAATAGGAAGGATATCTTGAGACAGGAGAAATAGATGGAGGCAATTACAAACAGCTACTTGATTGATGGTTGACATTGTCAGGGCTCCACTGTATGGCAGATTGCAATGGTGTTGAACTCCCCTTGCTACTAGTGGATGTTGCTATTGGCAACCGTGCAGTGAAGCCAATAAAAAGGCAAGAAAACGAGAGGAAAACTCAACCTTAGTGGAAGCCGTAGGGTTTGTGCTATAAATTATGTTCCCCTTAGCACTATGCAGCATCAGTGTTCAGGGTAGCTCCTGTGCTTGTAGCTGGCTGTGGTCTCTCACATTCCCTCAGTCCAGTTTTATCATAAAGCACGAGCTTTAAAATTTTGCTGTAGATGGAAGGGCATCCACTTGTCTTGGCTATTTATTTATTTATTTATTTACTGTTGGGGAGGATAGCAGATGTAAACTCCTCTCTGCCTCAACGTGGACTAATTTTCAATTCCCGTTTGTGATATAAATGTGATGTGGCACGGTACCAGAAACACCTGCAGTGCTTCTCAGCTGCAGATGCATGATGATCTCGCGCACCAGTCTGCTCCTAACTCCACCCATCCTTTGTTCCTCACCTGAAGGAAGAGAGACAGCCCTGCAGAAGCTATTTTCCTTTATAGCAGAGTGATTCAGAAAACTGGCTTAATAAAATCCATAAATCTGAACAACCTCCTCTTACCTGCTCTGCAGAAGCAATCTTTCCTGCACTCATTTTCTCCTCTAGTTTCTCAGTCTTCCCTGCAGAGACAGCTGTAAAGGGTAGCTAGAAACATTATGTTTTAGGGCTCCATTTCTTCCTTCTCTTTTTTGTCAAACCCCTCCCTGCTCAATTGTCTTTTTCTTAAAAATAGAGGACAGGATTCTACACCCTCGTTGTTTTGGTTGGCGGTGCCATTTTTCTTTGTTTGGATTGACTTTCACCTTTCCTTGGCAGTCTCCTTTAGCACCTGTCTCAGTCTCTATCTTGCCTTTATTGCTTCTCCTTCTCTTCCTCTTCTTTCTCCTCTGCCTTCTTCTCCCATTATTCCCTTGCCTTGCCTGGTTTGTAATTTTTGTTTACTTTATTTCGTGCCATAACAAAATTTCCTTCTTTACGATTACCTGCTTCCCCTCGCTTCTGTTTTCATACTTTAATTTTATTCATTCCTTCTTCAAACATTTCCCAAGTGACTCCTGTGAGCCAGGAAAATAACGTCCTTGTGGAACTTGGCCTCTATTTCTTTTAAGACTTGATAAGTAACATTAACAACTCATACTGATCAGTGAAAATTAAAACAAAAATGTTTTGCGAATTTTAGATTTTTCAGAGCTGGAATGAATCTCAGGTTTCACTTAGTCCAGGGATTTTCAAAGTCCTCAGAGTCCCTTTGTGGCCCACCAGGTGAGTAGCCAAAGATGAGGATCTGTAAGGACTCTAGATCTACAAGTTCTGCTTCAAGCAACGGGCTTCAGATTTTAGATGTCTCATCATGGAGATTCCTTGAAACACTTATTTTAATAAAGAGTTCTAAAATTAAGGCATATTTGAAAATCATTGTAATCTTATTTGACAAATAAGGAAACAAATGCAGAAAAGTTTATTCAATCAGTAGTGACATAGGTAGGGTAAAAGTCTAACTTCTAGCCTAGTATTCTTTGGATAAGATACACCCAACCCTCAATCTCTCAGGTAGAGTAAGAGGCATTCTAGTCATTGCATCTATTTAATAGAATTTATTCTTATTTATTATAAGCCTGACTTCCTATAGAATATGTGTTTTCTGTCTAGAACATTATTTCTTATCCTGTCAAGTATTCTTTTTTACACTGAATATAAAATTGAGGATTCCAGCATTTGGCTTTAAACTGATTAGCGGTAGTAAATTTTATACCAGAGCAGATCATCGGAAAACCTCAAGCCAGCCAGTGTTCAGTTTCTGCTGCTCTGCTGTGTGTCCTGTGAAATACCTCTCACTGTTGAAAATAGTTCCTAGATGTTGTTAGGTCACTTGGGTAAATCTGGCTATATTATTTCCTTTCATTTTTTCTTTAATTAAAGTTTATTAATCTCTTTCTCCTGGGAGAAAGTTTAGTCCACAATGAAGGCTGAATTTTAAAACTCTGAAAAACAAGACCATGATCTCACTGTAGAGTGACAGATCTTATGTGAACACCAGTCAGACAAACACATCTGTTGCACTGCTACTATGGACTTTTGGTGGAGGGAGGGATTAGGGTCAGTTGGTATCTGCAAGGATAGTATAGCTTTTATCTTTTCAATAGGGAATTCTAAAGGCTCTAATCTGACATCAAGAAGCTGCAAGAGGGGCACTCAGCTCTGATGTAGTTGTCTATCCGCTTTCTTTTCCACACTGCCCCAACAAACCATCTTCTTCATCTTTAAAAGAAGAAAAGAAGCTATAGACTAAGAATGAGATAACTCTATGGAATACAAAGCTGGATTCCTGGGGTAATCTGGCACAAAGGGGCACTCCAGGAAAGGCTACAGAATCAGGCAGTGTTTGGCTTGTAACAAATTGAAGAGCATATACAAGATGAAGCAGCAATAAGGATGCTTTCACTGTTCCGTGTTCCCTGAACTCAGACTGGGCAGACCTGTCCCCAGGTCTGTGGGTCCAAATCAGTCCTCTACCCAAAGCCTTTGTCTCAGCCCATGTGCAATCATCAGGGTCAGTCGAGGCTCCCAGCTCCCCAGTACTCCTCCTTCTTTGTCCTTCTGTCCCGTTCTCGGCTGCTGACCACTCCATGCTGAAAACCCAAGCACGCTTCCCAGCACATCCACATCCCTGAGAATTCAGTTCTGTCTGAGCTATGAGAACAAGAGGATGACGTGGCCGGGTTGAAGCTGGCCCTTCAGGCTGCGGTCACTCTGCAGCAGCTTTGTGAAGACAGAGGTTTAGTTTCTTTCCTCTTCAGCCACCGTGAGGATGGTAGGGGCCGGGGAGGCAGCGGAGACCAGTAGTCTTTTTTGGTGCAACTCTTCCCACTTACTTCGGTTTGCAGCCACTGAATCAAGCATAGGCTTCAGTTTCACATTGACCTTCACCAGCGCCTAAAGCAAAATAGAAAATGGGTAGGGAGAGAGGAGCTCCAGTCATTGGTAGACAGGATTCCCACCTTTTGTTTTTAAGAAGAATGCGAATGGCTATAAGAGATGAAAATTATTTTGGTAAACAGAGCTATTTACAAGACGTAAACGTGCATTTAACACCATTGTCTTGAATTAATAGAACCCATGCAGAGAAGGCAGAAATAATGCAGGGTGGCTGTGCATAACTCCAGGGGGAGCCAGTCTCCTAGACTCGCACCCTATTTTACAATCACATCAAGCAAGATAGAAGACAAAATATTCAGCTCACACTTTCTACTAATGTTGTACCTTCCCCCTGTCAGAGAGGGCCCGGGTCTTAATATGATATGGCCTGATTTTTACAAAACCAAATGTACAATCGCTCTGTCACTGGTGCCCCTGGGTGGTGGTCCCCGAAAAAGAAAGGCCAGGGTAAAATGGCAAGAGGCAACAGAAGAGGCTCATTCTTGAGATAAAAGACCTGGGAACCAGACTCAATATACGGATCAATTTGGAGCATGTACGGAAGCAGATGTGACAGGAAGGGAAAGGACTGTGAAGAGTCTGACCTGACTGTGAGTGAGTGGAGGAAAAAGGCAAATGTGGGGTGCCCAGGGGCACAGGCTCTGCCTCAGAGTCCTCACTTGTACCAGACCTTTCTAACTATTTCATTTTGTATGTAACTTTGTGTTAGTTTTAAAACAAGACTCTGTCTAGTTCTGAATGCTTTAAGCTTCTGTCCTCACACAACCTGATAGCCCCTTTCAGTAAGATGTCACGGTTAAATTTAATGCGCATGCGTCCTTTTGCTGCTCCGCTCTCCGGAGGAGAGGGGCTGTGGGGTGCGTCTGAGGACGTGGCCTCAGAAGCGCCCTCTAGAAAGAATTCCGGAAGTTCAAGTTAAACAGAAATAGATAAATGTCTTAAAAGCCTGAGAGCACAGCGTTTGTCCAACAGGGAAATCTCATAATTCTCCGCTTCACTAACTTTTTTTTAAAAGTAAAAAATGAATTTTAAAGTTCATACAATTCTTTTTCTTTTAAATCTTATACTTGTCATTATAAAACGCTTCAAATATATTAGGTCAGTAAAATATGATTAGCAAAACTATTAAGCATTTATATATGTAAGCACGAGCAATAAATACAAGTCAATCCATTCATGTTACAATATATACACGGAATTGCTTGACAGTCTTTATTTTTTGGATAGTCCAATAACAAGGAAGTAAGATCTGGATGACATTTAACCTTTTAACACGGTCAGTTCCCTTTGAAAGCATGAGGATTTTTTAAAAAAGTTGTTTTATATATTTCTCAATATAATACATTAATTTTAGAAAATACAGAAATAATAGGTTTAAGAGAAGTAGGGAAGAATGGCAGAATGTACCCATCTCCTGTGCACCACTGCCGTAACTACTGTTAGTAAACTGGATTTATCCCCTCAGATATCTTCCACTCTAGGGAGTTACGGGAATACCGATAACATTTAAGTTACCGATGTAAGTTAAAGGACTTGGGTGGAGTTGAAGATCCAGAAATAGTCAGGTACCCTAGTGAGTAGTGAGCTCTCCACCCCAGCTAAGGGGGCCCTGTCTCTATATCAGTGCCCTGTAAGTGGAGGATAATCTCAGTTTTTGTCACTGTCTCTAACAGTGATGTTTACTACACTGGGCACAAACATCTAATTTCAAATCAGATGTACCAGTTATTTTATATGATAACAAAGCAAGACAACATAATAACTCAGGCAGTGATCAAAAATTCCCATTTATTTCCACTAGAAAAATGCAGATGCCCAATTCCTCCTCAAAGCGCAGTGCTTTTATCTAGACAATAGTGTGAAGTAGCAACAACTGCCATGGTTTTATTTAGTATGGTTTGGCACCAGCTCCTCTTTACTCTGATCAAGCCTTTTAATTAAACTGACTACTATAATTCCTATGGAAATTAGTGTTTATGTTATTTTCCTGCTACAAAAGCATTTCTCTCGAACTTATTTTTTTTAATCCTTGGAGCACAAATTGGAATTTTTTTTCTGCTTGAAATGTAATTAAAAACTCATTTGATTACAATATTTCTGGCTCTGTTTTACTTATTAAATTCCTGTAATCAGTTTTCTTTTATGAAGCTGCTGGGAAATGATCTCAAAAGCAACACATTTTTCTCTTCCCTGGCAGGTTCCCGAGCATTTACTAAATTACGTTCATAGCACCTGCTCATGACTCGAATTACTCCACCAATTTATTCCTTAAACCATTTAAGTTTATTTGGCTTAGCCCCAAACAGCTTTCTTTCCTTTATCCTTGTCCTTTGTTCTCCCTCTTGTTTCTTTTGTGTAGACTAAAATAAAGGGGGGGGTGCACATATCTTTCTCAGAATTCCTTCCTTCTGTTTGTGTCTTATTCTCTTGAAACAAAATTGTTATATTAGAATATAATTTTTTCTGGGCCATGTACTGGTTCTAGGCAAAAGTAGCAAAAGTCCTATCTTCAGGAGTTATTCTTACACTACATATTTGCTACATAAATGCAGTTAGCTGAGAGAAGATGAGACTCTTTAAAAGTGAAGAATTGTCCATAAACCTGAAGCCCAAGGTTTATGGTGATTTCACGCAGTGTCATCTGCAAGAGAATTGCTTCTACTATATGCAAAGACTGGACATGCCTAACAGCTGGTCATCAGCGACTGACACCTGATGGGTTCTGTGAGAATCCTGCTAATGTTTAGTTTGACTTGCTCCTCACTTGATAAAAGAGAAAGAGGGAACAGTACCCATCCGATCAGTCTCCATGTGTACACAGAGGGACTGTCATGGCTAGTACCATACATTGCTTTATCAGCCACAGGATGCCCAACTCTCCTCAACGGCATCCCTGTGATGTGACCACTAAGCTACAGGTTAGACATGTCTACAGGCACTCAGTGTATTACTTCTCAGGCAGGGGTGGGGGGAAGACAACTCTTTTTTACTCTTTGTTCTGATCTGAGAATATTGCTTCTATGCTGAGTTGAAATTCACATCTGTATAACTTTTATCTAATGAGTTTAATCTCGTGGGGCAACCTTATTGCTCTCACCAGAGCTCCAAGCCCTCTCCAACCCCCTTCTGGCCCATCACAGACAGGATCTGGGACACCTGCTCTACTAGAGGACACAACTTTGGACATCTAATCATCTAGATGGCTGAGGGAGCCTGGGTTCTAGTTACACTCCATAGTTGAATTTTTTGGTGCAGAGCACATATAGTTTATTCCGTATTTCATTTATGTTTTGACTAAGTAACACATTTACATAGCTCAAGGGCTACAAAAGGTACAAAGTAAAATGTCTCTTCTTCACTTGCCTAAGCCAAGAGACACCAGATATTAGCCATTTTATATATCCTTCAAGAACCTTTCCATCTTTTTGTAAGTAAAAAAAATAAGATTTTTGTTTCTTACAGCTACCTAGTATTTCAGTGCTGTCATAATTGGTTTAAAAAAGTAGAAACTAAAGGTTGTTTATAATTGGCTACTCAAAATAATGCTGAAATGGATGTCCATGTATGGAGCCATTTTGTAGATAGCAGGTTTATCAAAAGGTCAAATTCTAGAATCAGTACTGCTGAGCCAAAGAGCATGTACATTTGCATTTTGATAGCTGTTACTAAATCAGCACATACGAAGCCTATGTAAGATATTGAATAGCATCCTTATATTAGCCATTCTTAGAAGAGAAAGAAAACATATAACTCATACTTACTGTTTCAATTAAGGCCTGTAATGATACTCTGAGGGTGAATAAAGCTAACAAGTGTACACAGTCTGGCATTTGCCTCTTTTCCCTGAGTATACTCCAGATGCTAACATGTACCTTGTACTCTGAGCTTTGCCCAAGCATCACAATGATGTTGTTCCAGGACTTTTTACATTTTCTTCCTCCTCTGAAAGAAGCTTTTCACATGGTGGTGAACCTATTTAAATTTCTTAATTATCTTTAACCATTTCCAAATGTTTTCAAGGTGTTTCTCAGGCAATTCTTGTTGCTAATAAATGTTTAGTGAATGCTTATTTTGTTAGACTATACTAAGTATTTTACACACACTGTCACTTCATTTTATGAAGAACTGTATGAGATAGATACCATTATTATCCTCTTTTTATTTTATGATTGAGGAAACCAAGGCCTGGATAGTTAAAGGACTCACTCAGGGTCAATGTTTGGTAAGGTGAAAAACTGACAGGCTACTGTAGTTTCTCAACCTTAGTTCTGTTGATGTTTTGGGCCAGATAATTCTTCATTGTGGGCTTGTCTTGTGCACTGTTGGATACTACAGAAGCCAGTAACAGCCCCCAACCTCAACACTCTGCCAAGTTGTATTTTGTAGCCCAAAATATCCCAAATATTAAATATATTGAAAATGTCCCCAGTGGAGTAGACTCATCCCAGCTAAGAATCATTGGTTTATGGCCTTTAAGAATTACCTGTCTTTGTCATGTCTTAAAATAATGGAGCTTTCTTGAATTAAAAAGAGGACAAAGGTAACCAGCTCTATAGGGTGAACCCTAATAGTATCTCAGTTAGTAGAGCCAAAACAGATTTACCCCTTGGGACAAATAGTATCCATTCTCCTGCTCCTTATCTCAATGTTTTGAGGAACTTTAGGGTAAAGAAGAGTAGCTTCTGTATATTGAGAATCCACTGTGCTGGACTAGGAACACGGACTTGAAGTCACTACCTCTTAAAATCTTCATAGCAGTTTCATGCAGTAAGTACTTTCATCACCTCCTCTTTATAGATATAAAACCGAGGTTCAGTAAGATTAAGTGCTCTGATGATGGTCATATATATATAGAGAGATGGAGTCAGGAATTTTACTTAAGTCTCTCTGATTCTTCAAGTATTGTGTGAAAACTTCTCTTCCTAGAGAACTAGTTATTCTTCAACACCTAGCTCATGTTCTACCTTCTGTAAAGTCTCTGATTTTCCAAGGTAGAA